GTATAAGAACAAGAGTTTCCTGAATTATTTCAATGGTTGTAGAGCTGTAAAAAAGAAAACTCTTCCAAAGCTGCTATATTTTCCAAAGGGGTGCATGGTGAAAGAAGCATGAGCAGCCACACACTTTGCAGAGCTTCTAAASCCAGATATGCATTACCATAACAAACTTCAAGTCTTCAAATATACATAAGTGTACTAAAAAGGTACACCTGATCTTCGTTTAACTTATATTCATTTTACATTGTATCACTCTCAAGTGAATGTACTATATCTTTCCAAATCAAATTATTGTTCTTCTAAGTAAGTAAAATCACATTCTACCCAGTCCTTTAAGAAGTTATATTACCACTGTTGCTTAGATTCTTCATTTGCCTTCCTTTCTTCCTCCACATATTTGTTAGAAGCCTCTAGAAATCAGTGCAACTCAGTAAGCTATTTCTGTCAGGCATAAATGCAACAAATTTTGGAATAATGAAAATGTTTCCATTCTTGAAAAAAGTACAGCCAACTGTTTCCATCCATAGGACAAAGGACAGAAAGTGGACTTTATGTCTTTTAATTGATTAACAGTAGCAAGAAGTTGAAAAGGCACTCAAAACGTCATCCACAGCATTTCTGCACTTCAAGACAGTTATCAATTATATGTGTGCCATTCTAAACAAACTTCCCTAAAGATCTCCAAATACAGAAACACAACTTCCCTCGCCAAAATTGTTCTGCATTCCTTTGGTATCCTTGCTCTTAGAAAGCTTTTCATAATTTTTCTTTGCAGCAGCTGCACACACTTGATTACACTTAAACTGTGTGTCCCAATCAACTTTCTCCTTTCTAGACTAAACAATCATAACAGTTTGATTCTTCCCTTAGAGACTACTTCACTTTTCATCATTCTCCCTCTTCTTGACTCTTTACAGTTAGCAAATTTTTAATGAAGGGTTGTAGTGYCTAAATCTAGATGCAGTTCTTAACTGAGACATGGCTGAGTAGTTTGTCTTGCAAGCAGTATTTCTTGATCTATCAGAGTTCTGTTTTTCATGTCTAGTAGCACCAAGATTTGACAATTTATGTTCCTCTTGTGAGACATTATAATGCCAAGACTCTTTCTGCTAAACTATTACAGTCAGCCAGTTAAATTCCAACTTATTTTTCAGGTAGCTGAATATCCTTAACCTGTGATTGCATTAGGTTTGTGCTTATCTTTGTCTTTCTGACCAGATCTCAGATACACAACAGCCTTCTGAAGGATCCACCTCAGTACATTTGAAGCCTCTCACAAACAGGTGGTGGCTATTCCACTCTCCAAGTAATAAGTGAAAATACCAAGGTAACTGCAACAACAGAGAAGTCCACAGAGTCCTCAACATATTTTCCTGTTTTGACAGTAAGCATAAGCATATATGAATAGAAATATATTCCAGATTATAAATATTCATTTTAGAAATTATATATTATATTATAGATATGAGTATAAATATGTATATAATATGAATATATACTCAAAAGTTCCCCTCCTGAGCACAACTTGCCAAATGGCACTGGAGAACAGACCAGTCATTCGATTTACATAGCATCACAGAAACACAGAATCAATTACGTTGGAAAAGACTTCTGACATCCAACCTATGACTGAACACCACCTTGTTAACCAGACCATGGCACTGAGTGCTACAGWCAGTCTTTCCCTGAACACCTCCAGGGATGGTGACTCCACCACTTCCCTGGGCAGCCCTCTCCAATGCCCAATCACCCCTTCTGGGAAGAAATTCTTCCTAAGGTCCAACTTAAACCTCTTCTGGTGCAGCTTATGTRGCACAACATTTTGACATTTCTGGCTGAAATTGGCAGGTGTCTATCAGTTGTAAGCAAAAGAAGAACAGCATACAGTTAATTTTTTAACCTCTTGCTATACAGTGTCTATTATGTGGAAAAATGGGTAAGAACAGAATGAAGTGAAACTTCTAGAGGCTTTCCACAGAAGCATTAAATTCATGGCCTAAGCAAACAGATTATTCCAACAGGAATAATTCTGAGAATAAATTAAATAATATCTGTGTTTTATTTGGAATTGCAAAAGAGTTAAATGAGAAACACTTATCCTCTAATTCAAAAGAAAAATCTTACTTCCAATCGAAAAAGGAACTTGACTGTGAAGCACTGACACAATTCTCATTTAAGGAGAGAAGTACTGAATAACCATGTTTTAATAAGAAGATCTGCACCATCTATTGGTCTATCATTTTCCTACATACCTAGGAGGCTGAACTTAGTTTGTATAAGATGGTATGAAATAGGGCATAGTTTGTGCAGAGAAGAGATTTAATGCAGTGAATGGAACAGTCTTAAAATGTATCATTAAATAAAAATAGACTATTAACTATTTCAAACACAAACTACAGCACAAGATTTTATCACTGTATCTGTATCTTGCTCTGGAAGTCTCTGTCAGAGAACATGAAAAAGGAATTTACAAATAAATACATAATGACAAACATCAGCTAAAYCTGTAATATTTGATGAGCCTCATAAGATTCATTTTTCTTAAAGTCTGTAGAAAATAYCTTTAACCAGACTACACAATCCCCTGTAATGGGACACTGATGCAATTTTTAAGACCAAACAAGCAGAAATTTCTGTACTGAAGCAAAGAAAAAGRTTCTTGCTAAAACCCTAGCAGACAGATATAATTGTTGGAAAAAGGCAACAAAGTTTGAGAACTAAAAAAAAGCATGAAAAACCAGAAACGAAACTGGCCAAACTGACAGCTTTATACTGATCTACAGGAGCTCCTTTTATTATCTACTACTAAATCCTCCTGTAGCAAATAAAATGCCTCTGTACTACTGTATCATTTGCAGCCCACCAAGATTGATCCACTGGAGCCAGCCTGGAGACACTGGGGCTTTCAGAGAGACAAAGAAAAACACAGGACCATCTAAGAGGGCCAACTGTCTGTAAAAACGTTCAGCTGCTACTATGAGTCATTTAACTGASAAAGGTGAAAAGACAGGCTATACTAAAATAAAATGCTTATGTATTCAATTAAAATTAAATAAAATGCTTATGTACTCAATTAAAATTCCTTTTGAATTCTAAAAGCAGGTTTATTTTTGTCTAATTTTTAAATTGACCCAGTGATGGAATGTTTCACACTACTGACCACAAGTTTTCTAAATTCTCATGGAAAACCCTACAGTTCCCATGGTTTGTAACACCATGATCATAGTCTCATCAGTTTACCAAACAAAAAGCATGGCAATAGATATAATMATGAATTCATTTCCTAGGGAATTCATTTTTGTATTTTCAAACAGTACTTTAAAGGAACCTTTTAAATTTCATTAATTTCCATAAATATACCCATTATCTAAAAATAATAACTTTAATAACAYATCAGAATAATTGAAACAGATAGAAATAAGAAGATGCCTTTGTATGAAAAAATATATTACACAAGAAATAATACATATTATTATACCAATATGTTCTGTAGCTATTGTTCAATTCAATTTTGGATAAGCCAAGAGAGATCATTAAAAAAAACCCCATGCTGATCAAACAAATCAGTTAGTTTACAAAGCAGCAAGGACAAAAGAAAAACACAGTTTCATCTTTCAGTATACAGACCTAATTCGCTGTCACCCACTTGGAGAAATAGATATACTCCCTTAATTGCTAAGATTTTGAAATAAAAAAGCAACTATTTGTACATATTAATTCCCAATTAAAGTTACAGTGATTACAGTCTCTAAAGTTCTCTAGAGACYTGTATTTCCTATTATATAATTCTTGCTGAAATAAGTAAGTGAAATGTAAAAATAAACATTAGAAAGAAGGCATAAGATACACGAAGTAATGGAATTTATGGATAAAGCTGCTGCTACGTATCACATTCATTTCAAGCATTTGTCAAGTAAAATATCACCAAATATTTTTCACAGAGATGTTCATGTCCAAACTCAGTCTAATATTTGAAGGATTGTAACAATTGTTTCTTTGGTGTGTATTTACAAATGCCAGCATGACCCCATCCAGGCCCCATTTTTAATTTTTTAYGTTTACATCACATGAATTTGAGTTCAGCCTTACTGATCCTTTTCATTAGCCATTGCATTAAGACACAATATAGGAAATCTATTTTTTGTAATTCATCATTCAAAGATGCTCTGGAAGATCTGAGAGCACTAACATGCATACATTTCATGTTCTATGTATTATAAGATTGAAGGGGGCTAGCACAGCTCACATGCAAAGTGCCCTCTTGTGGTTCCAAGCAGGTAAACTCAAGGAGATTTTAAAATATAGYAAATGTTTCAATAGTTTCTGATGTGTAATTACACTGTTTTTGGAAAACAGTATTGTTTATTATTCAGCCTAGAATTTTCTGGCAGCAAGTACTACTAATGCCATTTCTTTTTCCTATCATCTGCACATCCCAACTGGCAAGTGCCAGCTCTCTGTAATGGATTCTTGTCTGAAGCAGACAGTATTTGTGCTATGGCAATCACATAGCAGCTACACACAAGCCTTGGCCATTAAAGACGATTGTCCTGTCCCTTCCTGACACAACTCCTTAGCTATATTGGAAAAAAAAATTGGCATTCCTTATTCAAAATGTCACTTTAAACTTTATTCTGCCAATAAAATTCATCCCAGTGGAAGAGAGGTTTGCTGGAGAAACTAATTATAAATCAGCTCATGGGCAGATAATGGCCTGAAATATTGGCACTTTTAGATATGAATTAGAAATTKAATTCTCTTCTCCTATACAGTTTTTTCTACCTCACTGGGATGTAGAACTTTCATTATCAAAGGCAAATATATTCCAAGGTAAATAACAGCCCTGCATTCTCAAACAAGAGAATTGAGACTGAATGAGCAATCTGTATTTTGCTAGCTTCCTCAGTCATAAAAAATTCCAAAAATTAAAAGGGAGTTTTCTCAAAATGAAAGACTAAACAGTAACATACAAAAAAAAAGAYAAACAAAAAACCAATAAATACCTTTTTGGCCTTGGTTTTTTTTTCGTAAGTCTCTGACAATGGTTTTCTTTTTTCCTGAGTGGTGTCTTTGGAGAATAAATATTCAAACTCGGTAGTGTCAAGTATATCAGGTTCTTCTAGTGATTCCCATAATGTGGGCATAGCGGTTTTCCTGTAAAGGGAAAGCAATAATAAAATTTCCAAGCATTTATGAGAAACTGTAGTAGATCTAACCATTATAGAAGAAAATCCATGATAAATTTAAACTCAAAGCAACACAAAGAACATTCCTTCCCTATACATTGCTCCTGTAAGAAACTGCAGCTTGTGCAAATACATCTCAAGGGATTTCTGCCACTTCAGCCAGGATTAGGGGTATCTCAACAGCAGCTTTTTTGAGAATTCCCGGTAATCTATTTAGACCTATAAAAATAAACAGTATCAACAAATAGTGATCAAACTTTATGCAAGCATATTTAAGGAGCATTTGGGGTAATTTGCACAGGACTTGATTTACTTCATGTTACCCACAGATGTTGTACACTCATATTTATCCCTGTTGCAGTTCTGAGAAACTAGACTAATTATGTGGCTTATATTTTGGGAGASTAGCCAGTATTCTTCTCCATTCAACCAACTGTAAATTTTAAATGTGGATTATCTTTCCTTCTTTTTTTGCCTTCCAAGACCAGATTTAGTTTTGGATCGCTGGGAATTTGTTTACACAATCCTCTAGTTTTATCTGGATTAGGGGAAAGTAATAATGTACGGCTACATTGCACATCAATTCTGAAAGGGCTTTGTTTCAAAATTTCAATGTTTCAGGAAAATATGTGGGACAAACTTCTGAGTGCTCTTCTTGTCTCTTTATCAGTACAAGGTAAAACCACTTCTTCCAGTAGATGTCACTAAAAGGCAGTGAAATTATTTGCAATTAAAAAAGGTGAGGTAAATCACTATAAAATACAAATGGCTGATGTAACTAAACATAGATGTAATATGCAACAAAACGGAATACCTATCAATTTAAAAGGAAACAAAATTTAGGGTTTTTTTTCAAATTTATGGGTTTTTTTCAACTCAATACTCAACTGTCTACTATCATGAATCCCTAAGGAAACTCTTTTCCTATTAGCATCTGCTGATGCAGTACATTCTGCATCGCACGACATGCTTAGAGCTCCACAGCTTCACTCTTCCCAATATTAGTAGTAGTGTCAGCAATACCGAATAATGAAGGATTCTGTCTGGCTCTGCAACACAAAGTCCTGGACAGCTTCTGATCTGAGCAGAAAACCCTTGCAAAAATTCCAAGAACAGACCATGAAAATACTGGACCATTACATCTGGTGACCAGCAGTTCATCAGAATGCTATGACTTATACCTTACCTTGCAAAAGCTTGGTGAACSAACAGTATTTCACAAAGAAAATTTTCATTTCATTGATTCAACAGGGTATTAGAATAAAGTTTATTTATGGACCAATTATTTATTCATATGAAACAACTAAGCCTAAATAATATTGGGAAGGTAAAGCCAAAATGTTCAAGCCTCCTGCTCCAAAATATTTCAATGTTTTTAATTCTGAAAAACTGAGTATATAACTCACAATTCATTAATTTCTTTGTCCCTGCCAAATATTTTATATAAAATATTAGCACCTTACAATATTTAATGATACAAGAATGGTACTTTTCATAATAAATTCAGAGATGTAAAGTAAAATATAAATCATATTTAAATCCATTAAACTGCAAATGTTTAACAGTGTTTAAATATAACAGATAAATCTGAAAATAAAATATTAATAATTATATTCAGTAACTCAAATACATAATTTATAAAAAATCATTAAGATAAACCGTAATAAATTATTTCTGATAATTAATAGTATAATAGATAATATAGTAATTGTATGTAACATAGTAATATACTGTGCATATATAGTATAGCACATATAACATTATGACATATTATGACTTAAGGCGATATATAGTAATATAATTTAACTTACTAAAATATTTAAATTTTGCATCCCTGTAACTGCAGCTAGGCTAACATAATTTCAAAGACAGATAATAATGGTTTGAATTTTCAGATCCAAATTAYCATGTAATTTCATTACTTGCATTCATGAGCTCAAAAAACCTGTCCAAAAATCATTTATGTCTGTTCACCAAATGACCACTTATAAGCTGATCAACAAAACAGTGTAACTTTGGATTTGGTACAACAGAATACACTACTAAAATACTGTTATAGAACCATAGAATGGCCTGGGTTGAAAGAATCTTGAAGATCATCTCATTCCAACCCTCTGCCATGGGCAGGGACAAMCTCCACTCGACCAGGCTGCACAAAGCCCCATCCAACCTGGCCTTGAACACTTCCAGGAAAGAGGCACCGGCAGCTCTTCTGGGAAACCCTTCAGTGCCTCACCACTCTCACAACAAAGAATTTCTTTCTTACGTTTCATCTAAGCCTACCTCCTCTGTTCCAGATTCTACTGATACTGGGAGCTGCCCCAAATCAGGTACAGGACCTTGCACTGGGCCTTGTTTGCACAATCCCACTACTCAAGCTTATCAAGGTCCCTCTGGATGGCATTGCTCCCTCAAGCACATCTATGATTTTATCCCTGCACTAAATCACAGTAAAATGGGTAGGTTTTCTAAAAATTTAGGATCTATTTTTTTAACACTGTAGAGGTCTCCATCACTACTGTCCATAATGGACACTTCATACTACAGGTTGCTGATCTGCCTATGTTTATACATATGTACTCTTCCTCTCTGACAGAATTATACACAGAGGTTAAGTTCCAGTTTAACTGTTTCCAGATTGCAGAACTGGAATCATAGAGGACGACACAACATAGTTCTCTGAAGATGGGATCACATGAAGTGACTGGAAAGCAAAAATAAAACTAAGTTCTCACCTGACCAAATGTTAACATTTCCATTTTAATTCTAGCTCAGACTTCATTGTAAGAGAAAAAATGTCTTCCTAATAATCCTGGCTGTGATTTTACCTTTTAGTGTTAAATCTGAGAAACAACCTGTCACTATGGTTATTCATGCAGTGCTTGAATTATTGGGAGAAAAAAAACAAACAAAAAACATTTTTGTTACGAGGAACGAACTTTTCATTTATAATACATATAATTTTAATGTAAATATACTATTTTAAAACAACTTATGATTTTAGACTTCTAGAACTGATTCGGTTTTTTCCTAARAGTATGTAAATTCCACATGTCTACACTGATTTTGTTATACTTTCCTAGACTGTTAATCTCTTATTAAGTTTTGGATAGTGTACCTAACCTTGTACCATGACATATAAGTAGCAACTCTAAGTCCAAATAAATATATTTTACCTGTTATCTTGCAACTGTATTCGTGTCCAGTACAAGGGCTTCATGGGACGGCCAGGTTCAATGGCAGGTTTTCGTGGTCCTTGGTTTGAAGATAAAGTGCTATTAAAAAAGAACCCAGGTGCAGGAGGTGGAGGGGGTGGAGGTAACCCAGATCCAGGCAGTGGAGGCGGAACAGGAGGTCCCAGCCCTCCTGGAAGCGGTGGTGGTGGCGGTGGTGCTTGAAAATTCCTACAGCCTTCAGAAAGTGCAGGTGGCAGTGGTGGAGCAGACCCAAAGTGAGACGTCACTGAGGCTGGACCCATTGGCAAAGGTGGTGGTGGAGGAACTAAACCTGACAGTGAAGAATCAGGAAGGGGAGGCGGAGGTGGTGGTGGTGGAGGAGGCATTTGTTTTAGTTGACAAGTCAAGACACTTTCTGATGCCTGTACACTGTAATTGTCCTTATTTTCACTTTGGGCAGACATACTATGTGTCAAAGAAGAAATATTAAGCTTTTTAGGTACTATTTGGTTATTTTTCATAGCTCTATTTTCTTCTTCACTAGGCTTTATGAAAGTTTCTCTGTCAGTCTGTATACATACATTTCGGTATGCCTTTGGTGGGTTATCATCTTCAGTAGAAACACCAATATCCTTTGCTTTTTCATTTCTTCTGTTCAATTTATTATCAAGTTCATTTTTCAGATGTGCAATGGTTTCCTCAAGCTGAGCAGTTGATACAGCATGTTCTCCACGAATATGGAATACCCTGAGTTCAAACTGAGACTGCAGAGTAACACAAAAAAAACGCCTTAGTGTAAAACATTTTTCTGAAGTGTTTATTTTATAGTAATCAAAAACCTTCACATTTAGACTATTTTCTCACATTAAGCAAAGAGAGAAGTACTTTTCTTTCCAATTCTAAATGGTTTTATTGCAAGCTATTACATAATAGGACTACCAATAATCTTTAAAGAAACGTAAGCAGGGTATGTTTCAACATAATATATTTTTGTGAGTAAAAATCCAAAACATCAATCTGGGCAAAATCTAAGTTGTACATTATCTTTAAGAAGACTTACCAGTTTTTAATTGCATGTAATAATTAGTGAAAATGTAATGGAAAAAAGGTACCTTTTTCAAATGGTATTATGTTTAATGATGTGAGTTTTTTGATTAATTCATTTATTAAGTATGTTGTATATATATAGAGAGATGACATGTTAGAAGTAAAAAATAGATTAAACACAATGGGCTTATCCATTCGCGATAAAATATTAAAGAAACAAAAATAATTTCTCAATCTAGTAAGTATTATCATCAATTTCACAGATACACATAAATTCCTCAAGTTTATCTTTACTATTAGATTAAAATTTTGTTTTTTCCAGAAATGTTTTAATCAACAACTTAGGAAAAGAAATCTTAGAAATATGAGAATCAAGGATTTCACTGAGTAAGTAAGGAAAGAAGAAAACTACCCCATTTTTCCTACCATATGTCAGAAAGTTACAAAACATTTGGCACAGAAAAATCTCCTTAATATAATCCACTCCAATCCAATAATGCTATTCCACACGATTAGATCCCTACAAGCCATTTTCTGTTATGCAATGATACTATCCATCAGGCAGCTCGCTGATATTACCACGATTCTTTACAAGGCAATGACACCTGAAAGAGAGTTTTCATGGCTCTTTCAGGATCCCTCTACAAAAAGGAAGCCAGCCTTTCAACAGAAACAGCTCCCAAAATCCTACAGGCACAGTAATTTACACTTAAAATTCTTACACAGTGCTTGTCAGAAGTGGCAACATAGCACTCCCTATTTTCCATTCCAATTTGAGTATTAGGTCAGAGCTACTAGTTCATAGGGTTAATTAATATGCATACAAGTCGTGCATGTGTAGCTCAGTATGGCAAATACAGTGTGATTTATTGTGATTTTTATATCGTGAAATGAAGCTTGACTAGATTTGCAAACAAAATATATTATTTCTTATAGGAAAATGATCAACTTGAATTCTAATCATTTTAAGATAAAATCCAAAGTAAACTAACTGAAAATATTGGGTGCAAAATGCTCCTTTACACTGGCAAGTGCATAGGTGAGAAATCAAGTTTAAAGTCTTACAGAGAATCAAACAGATTTACATAGGAAACAATTTCTATCAGTTATATAGAAGGACTAGTATGAGCAACAAAATACATTTGCTTAGCTTTTTTCCTTTTTCTATCTWACTCTATTGGTGCTCAGCTTTATTATTAGTTCAGTACAATTATTGAAAGATTTTCTGCCATTTGAATTGTTACAGAGAAATTACCTTTCTTCTTAAACTTGGCATACTGGTTCATAAATGAGGTAATGAAGTAAGTTTGCCTTAAGGAATTTAACTGTTTTGTTTTTTTATCATAGTGCTTTGCTCCTATTGGACATCAAAAACTCCTTGACAGAACAATTTACTTTGAACGTTAGAGATTTTCCCAGCAGTAAATCTGAAGCCACCTTAAAAATGCACTGTAAAACAAGCATGGTATCTAACAAAACTATTTATTACATTTAAATGGGCATGAAAGCAACTGTGTTAGTATTATAAGCCTTTTCAAATACAGATCTTTAGTCTTTAACTTACAATATAAAATTGGTAGTTTAAAGTCAAAATTATATTTGAGGTGACAGTTTTATGCTTTTTCTTGCTTTCCGTTCTTTCAGATTATTTTCCATTAAWTAAAAAAATAAACAAGAATTAAAGTTAAAATTACTAAGCATTACTAATTACAAGAAATAAGTAATACTTAGCAGCAAGTAATAAAACRAATTTTGATTTTAATTACTTTTCATTTCAAAGTAAGTCTTATTCACCAAAGTAAGATTAAGTAATATTGAAACCTATTCAGCTTATGTACCTATGATAACACTTTTAATAAAGTGTCAAGAATAGGAATGTTAATGCACTATTTTTTTTATATATACACATAAATATTACATAGATATTCTTAATAAAGGTCTGCTTCCTTGAAAATATTTCGTAAAATGAGATTAAACACTATAAAGTCATATGATGAATGAAATGGAGATCAAACATCATCAGAACATAATAGTTTGGTCACAATTATTTTAAGCAGAATGAAATCGAAAAAAAATTCAGCAGCAAACAAGATGTCTGAGGGACTGAAGGTGTGGGAAGAAGGCTGGAGGACTAGAAGATATGAGAAGGCAGCTGAAAACTAAAGCTTAGAAAGCCACCCTATGCATGAATGAACATGCTTTATTTCTTGAGAAGTTTAGAGGATTTTGAAACCTATCAAAGGAAATTTCTGTATAAATTTCTCTACATAAAATGAAAGCAAGACAGTACAAAGAACAACGTGGGAGATGTTCATCAGCTATAAAGGGTATCATTTTTTTTTTTTTTTTCATTTGAAAACTGCATTTACCACTTTGATGACTGGTTTAGAAGACTGGTTGCTGGCTTCCCAGCAACACCCATGTAAGAAATCTGGATTGTATAGTTACATTCAACAGCAAATAAACTAGTGCAAGGAACATATTTCTATCCCCCTGATCATTTCATTTTCTTCCAGCAATTATCTGCTCTAACAGAATGTATTAAATCAAGCCCTCAAGCCACTGACATACTCCCTCTCCTGCACATACACACACACACACACGCAGAATTGATAGAGCTGCCTAAATTTCCATGAGACATGTACTTTTTTCCAGATTATAGTTACGTCACAATAGAGACAGGAATGTTTCAATAAAGCCTTATTACTACTTTATCTTCATACTGCTGGCTTAAAACGCCTTAATGTACTGAAATCTGATTTCAATCATCAATATGAAAGTACCTTTGGAGTATCTTACGCCTACTGCATATAGAATGTGCGACTGAAGAAAGTTGCCTCACCTTGGCACAACCTTTCTCGCATTCAGTATCAATATTAAATAGGCAAAAACACTATGCTATTAAGCTGAGGTACACTTCTAAAATTCTGAATTCACAATAATTTTATTGGACAAGGAAAACTCATGCTATAATTCAAAAAAGCGAGCTGCAGTGTAAATAAGCACTGAAGGGATTGATCAGTGGTACAGCAATTCTAAAGGGAAAGGATGTAGAAGGACAGCAGATCATAGACTGAGTCAACAATTCCGTATCAGAACAGACATAAAGAATTGTYATATTCAAAAAATTAATCTTTGTGCTTTAATCGGTACTAAAAGCTGTGTGTACTTTTAGTTTAAGAGAAATGCTGTCCCTGTGTTCATGATCACTGCTACTGAAATTCAGGGCASCTCATTTTGTCCTAATTTTCTAGGTTCAATCAACAATGCCTTTTATCTCCACCTCACCCTTACTGGATAATGCTCCCCTTGTTTTGTTTGTTTCTTTCTGTTTCTATTGCTGAAGAATACTTTCAGWATTCACTTAAATTTCCTTTGCAAGATGTGATTCAGCTTGAGTGTTATCAAATGCCCTTTTCTATTCTGAATTCTAAAACTAGCCTTCTTGGCTAAGGTACCTCTTCTTCCATTCCTCCACAGGCTCTCCACCTCCACCCAATAGCCATTTTGAAGAGGTTGAATAAACARGCAGTTCTGTCCATCCCTTTCCTTGATAACATGTATTTTGCTTCCAAATCTGCTCTTGCTTGGAATGCAGGTTTCAGAGGTTTTGCATCTCTGATTCTGACTAAAGAAGGTTCTTGCCTATTTGGCCATTCAAGGCTCACCAATGCAGTTTTACTTACAAATCAGTTTTATTTGATTTGTCAAGATATGTCTGGTACCTGCCATTRAAATGGACATGATCCATTTCCCTTGAGTAATGGATAAAAAGCAAATGATTCCAGCTGACTCTCAGAACCCTTGAACACAAACTTTTATACATAAATTATCCAGTATTATCCTGTTCCTAAAAAATTATTTCTGTTAATGGGTAAAATAAAAGTCACCCCTAAAAAAAAAAAAAAGACCTCTCTAACTAAAATACATTATATAATAGGATTATGCAAATATAAAAAAATACTGATACACTGTAAGCCTGAAAACAGCAGAAGTGTTCGGATTGGCTTTCCAGCATCTTCCTGGTTTTTTCCTTTACACTCATCACTTTGGCATATGACTCGAGTAACCTCCTTTTGGCACCTCTTAAGTAACTTGACCACGACAGAGAGAAAAAGGGTAAGGTATATTTTCTGACAATGCCAACACTCAGCCTTGGTCCCATGGGATGCAGGAAATTATGAAGTGTATGCTCAAGGAAGAAAAAGTCCAAAAACTGAATTAGTCTACCAAACTGCCATTAACCATTACCATATCAGATGACAAATAATAAATTATTCACAAAAGCAAAAGACTAAATCTTCTCATTCGTGCAACCTACAGGTTGTCTAAAATGTTTTTTTAAAAATAATGTGGATTCACATGGACAGATATCAATACCAATGGGACAGCTTTTCTCTGTGCTCTCATAKGTGAGAGGAAGATTACAGTCTCATTTAATACAGTCAGTATAGTAAATTACATTCAATTAAATGCAATCAACTCAAGTGTATTTGTTGTTGTGTTACTGCTTCAAATACTGGGATTTTATGTGAACAAAAACGTTTTAACCATGACAAAGAATTGCTCTGATATGAGAAGCCGCAGAACAATTTGTATGCATRAATACAAGGAAAATATAAATCTCTACAGCAATCTACATTCCAGAATCAGTTGCTGATTTATTAGCCAAGACTTCCTTGCACCATAAATGTTTTAAAAAATCCTGAGAACTTTA